CACAGGGTACTTTACGGCCAACAACTACAGCTAAGAAAGCATCCAATGTTTAGATTACATACAGAAATCTAAGGGGTTCAAGATCCAACACACACTTAATGGTGGTGAAAAACAAATCCTAAATTACAGAGTAGACAGATTTAGTAAGGAACAAAACACAATCTATGAGTTTTACGGGTGTTATTACCATGGGTGCAATATATGTTATTTCTCTAATACACAGAATCCATACTTTCTACAAATACCAGTAAAATATAAGTTTGGGGAAACTTAGTGATTGTTTCTGGGACCAGTGAACAATGGCAGGCTGATTCGGTGGATCTCTCTAATCTAAGTCAATAATACAATCAGTTTAAGTAGTTACTGGTGTGTGTCGATGTGTTTTTTAAATATGCATGGGTTGTTCCACTCAAGTATAAGAAACGTGCAACACTCTCAAATCTTTCAAGTAGATGTTAAAACATGGTAGATTGTTTGTTTGTTTTGAATTTCGCGCAAAGCTACACGAGGGCTATCTGTGCTAGCCGTCCCTAATTTAGCAGTGTAAGACTAGAGGGAAGGCAGCTAGTCATCACCACCCACCGCCAAGTCTTGGGCTACTCTTTTACCAACGTATAATAGGATTGACCATCACATTATAATGCCCCCACGGCTGAAAGGGCGAGCATGTTTGGTGGGACTGGGATTCGAACCCGCGACCCGCAGATTGCGAGTCGAGCGCCCTAACCACCTGGCCATGCCGGGCCTTTATACAAAGAAATCCACCAATGTGGAAACTGCAAGACTATCTCTGAGAAAAACAAATTACATAGAGCATTTTACGATTTTGAGCTACAAAGAGTTAAAAAGTCTCCCAATTACGTCTATGCTGTAAAAGAAACATTATGTGAATGGGGAAGGGATAAAACAAACAACAGTTTGTAAAATGGAAAGGATATCCTGATAAATGTAATAGCTGAATTTATCAAACAGATCTGAATTGTCTGCCATCATAAAATGATATGTATAACTCTATCACTCGTTATTCAACATAAATCAGTTGTAGATGATGTTACCTAGTAGTAGTTCTATGAATTATTTTGCTAATAATAATCTGACAAACTATGTTATTCATCTTCCGAGATCTATCAACCTTGAAGGTTCGAGGGAAGTGGCTTTGGTCGAATTACAGTAGCCACATAGCTGGCATAATGTGGCTGATAGTACAGGATGGTTATCTTACTTTTTATGTTCTCATTAGAAAGAAGCCGAAAATTTAATTAGAATCTTAAACCACGTAGAAGACTCACTTCTTAAATCTGACAATGTACTTATAATTATGATTCGTTCACCCGAAAAACAAGTGTGAACATAAATGATGGAGCTTCTATAACACTCGATCCTATACTGTCAGTAATACTTGGATTTGATAATAATCACACGATAACAGAGCCTACTATAGCTCCATATACTGTTAATATGCATGGTGGGTTTCATTTGCTCTATGTTTACTCAGACATTGTGGAACATAGTATTGTCAGTGATGCATATGTACCACTGATGCAACTCGTTCAAGTTAAAGGTCAGGATGGAGACAAGATCACTGAAACATTTACAAATACTCAATACAGACCTGTTTCTAAATAAGATTCTAAAATTATTGAGGTCGATATAAAAAACGACATTGGTCGACCTGTCTCATTTCAACAATGAAGAGTGATCGTAATGATCCATTTTTGCTGTCATTAGAGTACCTTACTATCAAGAAACAGCCATCTATGATGGCTATTACGATTACCAAGTGGGAAATGGCTTATCTTATTATGCTGGTAGCCAATGGCAACAGGAACACGGATTGGGAGACATTTGGAGTGAGTTGTTACGTACGGCTATACAATTTCTGAAAAAAGGAGAATGAGGCTGAGGAAAACAAGCTGTTCAATCAGGCATAAATTTAGCATCAGATGTCATATAAGGAAAATCTTTTGTTGACGCTGGAAAACTATGAGCAATACAAGAAGCTCGGAACCTGGCTTGAGATGTTAAACAGGTTGCTCTGTCTAATAAAAAGAAGAAACAAGAAGGTCTCTTTCTTTGAAAGTAATCATGACTCTCCTACCATATGAAAAGTCCTGTCAGTGTACAAGTTTGAGCTAGACTTATTTTCTCTCTCTCCCATGCAAACTGTGAGTCAGCAAGGTCAGCAGACCAAATATTATTCTCTATATTCAGTGACCAACAAAGTACCCATCGAATTTTCTATATTGGGATAGGGAGATCACTATTTAGATCCAGCACAATCTTATCTTCATGTAAAGGCAAAGATTGTCAAGCCCGATGGGACTGACATAAAAAAAGGATGAAGATAACTCTGCTACTGTCAGCCTGTTGTTTCATTCTCTATTTTCTCAAGTAGATTTACATTTGAATGACAATCTAATTTCTTTGTCTCACAACCTTTATACATATAAAGCCTACATCGAAATTTTACTGAGTCATAATGGAGAAGCTAAGAGAAGTCATTTGACATCCTCCATGTGGATAAAAAAACAGTTAGTTTGACAATTTCGATTTTAATGATGGTGAAAATGAACGAATAAAAGACTGGCATGATAGTCAAACAATCAACATGATCGGCCGTCTACATCTGTATATCTTTTTTACAGAGTACGTTCTTGCCTAATAGTGTAAGTTTAAAACTATGACTTGAATGAAGTAAAGATTCATTTTGTATTATGTCAAATGATAAACTGGGATTCAAAAGGTTACTACAATACGTTTCTATCTATGCTAGAAAATTCAAGATCAGCCCGTCAGTTGTTCTATCACATGCTAAAGGATTTCAGAAAGAAACAGCTAAATATCCTTTGAAATATATAGTGTGCTAATCATTTTCAATTCCTCAAGGAAACTTACAAGCATCTATCGATAATGCATTTTAAGGTCAAGTACCTACACGTCTTGTTATAGGATGTGTTGAAAAGAATGCATTTCACGGATCTTGGAAGAAAAATTCGTACAATTTCAAACATTACAATATCAATTTCGTGGCAATCAATGTTGATAGAAAATAGATTCCCACTCGACCTTTACAACCAGATTTTGAAGCTGAGCTGTATGCATAAAGCCATGAAACATTATCTAGTGGAACTGAAAATCAATTTAAAGATCAAGGAATTGATATAGAATATGATAACTACTCGGGAGGATACACGCTCTTTGTCTTTGATCTTACACCTGATCAATCTGCTGGAGATTCTCAGTTTAACTTGGTGAAACAGGGAAATTTATGAATTCAAATATGTTTTGGTAGTGTTTTACCCAACACTATACATGTTCTCGTTTATGCAGAATTCCTGTCAATTTTAGAAATTCATCTGTCTAGAAACAGGTATGTTTGTTAGTGATCAACTACCTATACATCATTAATCTGGATCAGAGTCATTAACCTGGTAGCCGCTTGGTCTGTTTGCACTTTAGTTGAGATAAAAAAGAATATTTAGATATATTAAGAATGCCTCCACATAACCTCAAAATAAGAAAATTCAACAAGAAAAACTGTCGAATGTGGACTTACAACAAAAAAGTACTGCAATGGCCTTATATGTCTGGGTGTGGACAATATTGTATATATTCTACTAATTATCATTTTTGGCATGTGTCAAAATGAAAACTATTATACAAATTTTGATCTCACAAATATGTTAATGATATGTTTATTCATGATTTTGCTGCAAAACGTTTTCATGTAAACGTGTTCTTAATAGACATGTCTTTTTTATGTAGATCAGGTTGCAAAATCTTTATTGTGAAAATAATAAAATGTTTAAAAGAAATATTGTGTCGAGAACTAATTTACATTTAGTTAAATATAGACGTTCATCATATGTTGAGACAATGAGCTCATCATCCTCTGCCTACACATAAGCTGTCCTTAGTATCATTGCCCACCTTTGTAAAATACATTTAATACAAATAAATATATAAATGAAAACAAAAACATAAGTTAAGACCTGTATGCAGCTCGATGGGACTGTTAGCCTCTTTAAATTGTTTTAATGCTTTACTTATAAAGTGAAAAGGAAAAATCAATTTTATGCATAGTAAGACCATCCACCTACAGAATCTCAGTAATACTATCCACTTAGTAGAATCATCTGCCTATAGAATCTCAGTAATACTATCCACTTAGTAGAATCATCTGCCTATAGAATCTCTGTAATAGTATCCACTTAGTAGCATCATCGTCTATAGTAACATTATCTGCTTTTGTCAAACTTATGTGTATTAAAACAATAAAGTAAAGTAAAGACCATGTGTAAAATGAAATACTTTGTCAAGAACAACAAAAATCGTAGTTATATGGCTAGCATAAAGACAAACTAGTAAAACAGTAACACTGTTGTTAGCTTGCATGTTAAATAAGCATCCTTTTCAGGAACATAAATGATTTACATATAACAGGTCAGGAAATGTAAAAAAAGTATGATTAAATATAGAACTAATAAATTAGTGAAGTGTTTTTTATATATAAAGCGACTGTATTGATTTTAAATCATAATCAAATCTAGCCATTGATTACATGTTGAAACACATTGAGACATCCATGGTGAGATCATTATGATTGTGATTCCACTTCGTGGAACTATGATGTCATCATCTCTGATGTTTTGTTGTCATGTCTGCCTGTCATGGGGCCTAGCAATGTGCCTTCTAGTGACACTTAGCGGAACTATGACGTCACCGTCTCTGGTGGCATGATTCTCGGGTACTGCTCTAACTAGTCATAAAAATCTAAATTTGTCGGTTACGTAAACCTACCACGTAATTTAATTTCACTTAACTATAATTGCACCAAATTTCGTATGTGAAACAATGCACACTTAAGCCACAAACCAAGCAAAGTCTTCATACTTTTTATCAAGGGTTAAGATTTTAAAAAATACACTGTAATTCAATTGTTGCCAAAATTTAGTGGAACAAGAGAAATGTAGGTAATGCTAAATACACAAAAAAGATACTACTCCAATGAGGTTGTATTCCCGCAGGTTTCCCATTTGTGCAGTACTAAACCAGTAGCATCTTGCTTTCTTGTGGTATACAAACATTCCTGGAGGAAACAAACAAGCTATCTTAACATAAAAACACATATGCTAAAAGAGTGCATGTTTTGAGATCAGTTCACTGCATTTGCACAAGGCCAATTAATTTGGACTTCTACCAGAAGAAATACACCATTTATTACAGCAGAAATGTTGACTGCACTTGTCAATTGCTAAATATTTATATATACACACACACACACACACACATATATATATATGTATATATATATTTAGAGATAGAGATTTTACTAACTTTAATCTAAATTTCCCAGATCTGAAATTGAGACATTATTTCCAGAGATAGTGTCCATGACTACTATTCTTTCTACACTTTGCTTGTAAAAGGTTATTTCCAGAGATTGTATCTGTGCCTACTGTTCTGTGTAAATTTTATTTCTAAAGAGTTATTTCCAGAGATAGAGTCAGTGAATATTATGCTTTCTAAACTTTGCTTGTAGGAGGTTATTTCCAGACATAGTGTCTGTGACTACTGTTCTGTGTAAATTTTGCTTGTAAGAAGCTAGTTCTAGAGATAGCATCCATGAATGCTATTATTCGTAAACTTTGCTTGAAGGAGGTTATTTCCAGAGTTGCTTTACTCAGCTAAGATTCTAGTAAACATTATATTTGCTTAAACAATTATTGCTTTAATGACTGTCTTTCTTGGTAAACGCTTTTCTTTCTGTTCAATTTTATTTCTAGAGTAAATGTCCTTAACCACCATTCTTTGTAAGCCTTTCTTCCTTAGAGTTTGCTTTTAGAATAAACTTTTGTGGTTATCATTATGTGTCATATAAAAGCTTTAATGAATATGTCCCCAAAGTCTCCGACATGGCGCACAAACTTTATACCTTCCTTAAAGTTATCAAACAAATAACCACCGAGATATCAAACTGATATATTATTGAAAGAAGATTCTCTGGGAGACAGACTAAAATTTGTCCTTAGGACAGCAATACTTATTTTTAAAGCTTCTTGTTTATCAAATTCGAATGATTAAAGTAAACCAAGATATGGAGGTCTTAAGATATCTAGAAATCATCGGATTCGTTTGGAAGAGAAATGGAGCCAGACATCACATTGACTTTAAGATAACTTATGTTTGTCATTGTCAATTTTGAACTTTTTACGTCTTGGTTGCTTATTAGAACTCAATCGAACTTTGAACACTATAATGTTGTCTGCAACAGCTTTTCTTTGACAACAAAACAAGTTCACAATTTTATATTTACCTTTTTATAGTAATTTTAATGGCAACAAATACTGTAAGAACAGCAGACACGTACCGTAATCGGTATCAAATATCTGTTTAATCAGTAGTAGAAACCATTCCTTGGTGAGACCGCCCATATCAAGTCCCGGTTCTCCAACAAATGTCACCTTCAATTTCTTCTTCAAGTCAGATTGCTTCCGTGCAACCTAAAAACAGTCGGTAATGATAGAAAAAACAAAAATTTACAAAACTTATCGCTCTAAAGTGGCGAATTGTATTTAAATTGATACACCTAGACCAGGGGATCCCAACCAAGGGCGTTGTCACCCCCTGACGGTGCGAAATGAAGGTGCACGGAAGAGGCCTATACAAGATCCGTTTTCCCCAAATGTCGCCAATGTCTAATGCACACTTTTTATGGGATGGGGTGCAAGGGCTTCCTTAGGGGGTGCGAGGGCCACAAAAGGTTGGAAAACACTGATCTAGACAGTGTTTTAAGTGGGGTGGGATACCATCCCATTTCTTTTCAGGAGGGCCTGAAACGATCCCCTACCTTTCAGTCGACTGTAGGCTTCTCAGAAGGGAAAGGTTCAAGTGACGATGAGATGAATATTTACGACTACAAGAGACTGAGGAGAGAACTTATATCTTTTTCTTAAATGTTATGTAAAAGCGAGGCAGGAATGAGACAAAGTATTACACAGATGAACCCTTTAGCTACGGGATCGTTGGTGTGACCGAGTTCGTAACCACAAAGTAACAATAAGACTTTCCATACTATAACTGGTGACGGTATACATCTGTTTATACTTAATTTTATTGTTTCATAGCCCTCTGACCGTGTCTGACTGAAAATTCCGGCACACAAGTTATAAATCACTCAGCGCACGTGCTGCTCACGTTACCGTATCGCTATCGAATTACGTAACACACGGGCTATTCGTGAGTATTCCTCGTGAATAATTTTTATTTTAATTTTTCATTATATTACCTAATCTAGCCTAATAAGCTTCTAATTTTTACATTTCAGTTTATTTTATAGTAATAAATAAAGAATACAAGCAAGAAATATAGTACTCAGATAAGTCAGCTTCATAAACCATCTCCCTTACTGCGATTAGAGTTTTAAAAACCTTCAAGTCCACTTATTATTTTCTTAACAATAAAATCAACAGCAACAGCCACTAATGCAGGGAAACAAGCTAAGCCTAAAATTCAGCTATAACAGCTACGAATGTGGGAAAATAAACTCTTAAAGTCTATGAAAAGTACATTTACCTCGTTCAGCGAATCCGACACTAGATGAGAACGACGAACGTTTAGGTTAAGAAAGAACACGTCGATATCAGCAGCTTGCTGGAGCAGAGTTCGACTTAGCAAGCTTCGCTGCAATGAAGATGAACTGAATTATAACTGCGATCAGAATAACATAAAACCAGAGTATCATACAAGTATATATATTTTACACCAAAATTTATTTTTTCCGAAATGTTAAGCATGAAAGAACTGTAAACATATGTCTGAACCACACACACACATATATATCTAATCCAATACACAATATGTAAACCGTAAAACCAACAGATGCCTGTTTACGTATGTAAAGTTTTATGGAAATAAAATCCCCGCGTTTTAGTGGTATTAACAAACAGATCGCTTTCAATAAAATTATAGTGCTAAAAAAAGACAAACTTAAAACTCGCGTTTAGGGTTACTAAAGATATATAGTGTTTTATTCAAGCCTAATGTAATAATCTTTTATATTATTAATAATGAAGTTTTGTTTAATGCCATTATTGAAAACTTATATGTGGACATTCATTAATTTTAAGTAACCGAATATAACTAACATTTCCATGATTTCATCTGTAACATTTCGGTTTTAATTCCCCGAAACCGTTGTATTGTACCGGCAAACAAACGTGGTTTATATTTACATCGAAGCCGTTGTATTGTATCAACAAGCAAACGTGGTTTATATTTACACCGAAACCGTTGTATTGTATCAACAAACAAACGTGGTATATAGTTACACCGAAACCGTTGTATTGTATCAACAAACAAACGTGGTTTATATTTACATCGAAGCCGTATCATTATCTCCATTAATTCAATCGTCATTGTTTTTAATATTTGCATCCAATGTCATTTCCATTTTCGATATTGTGATAGGTCCTTTGGCATTACGTGACAATTGTATCAACAAACAAACGTGGTTTATAGTTACACCAAAACCGTTGTATTGTACCAACAAACAAACGTGGTTTATATTTACACCGAAACCGTTGTATTGTACCAACAAACAAACGTGGTTTATATTTACACCGAAGCCGTTGTATTGTACCAACAAACAAACGTGGTTTATATTTACATCGAAGCCGTTGTATTGTACCAGCAAACAAACGTGGTTTATATTTACATCGAAACCGTTGTACTGTATCAACAAACAAACGTGGTATATAGTTACACCGAAACCGTTGTATTGTATCAACAAACAAACGTGGTTTATATTTACACCGAAACCGAACAAACAAACGTGGTTTATATTTACACCGAAACCGTTGTATTGGTACAATACATATGAGACCATACAAGATCAGGAAGACAGGTCGCAGTTTTAGCTGACTTTTCAACTGCTAAAAATATATCAAACCATTGTTGCGTATTATCAGTATTATTGTACGAATAAATACAAATCCACAATGAATTGGTAAGCTTGTAGTTCACCGTTTCCAGTAAAGTTAACGAGCTCTATTAACTAAAATATTTGTTTATGTGTATTTGGTTGGAACCTTAAAAATACCTTTAGACTAAAGTGAGTGGAAATTTTGAGTTTCATCTTCAGGTCAGATTTTGGAGAAAGTTGGTTGATGGTTAATTAGAAAGAAAAAGTCGTTATTATCAGTTATAAAGCAAAGTCGGTAATATCAACCATAAAGTTAGGTTAATATTATCAACAATAAGGTAAAGTCAGTGTTATCGATTATAATTTAAGCTCAGTATTATCAATGATTAGGTACAGTCAGTATTATCAACCATAAGACAAAGTTGGTATTACTAACTATAAGGAATAAACAGTATTACCAACTATAAGGTAAAGTCAGTATTATCAATTATAAGGTAAAGTCAGTATTATCAATTATAAGGTAAAGTCAGTGTTATCAACTATAAGGTAAAGTCAGTGTTATCAACTATAAAGAGGATTCATTATTATTAGCTATAAGGCAAAGCCAGTATTATCAATAAGATAAAGTCAATATTACCAACTATAAGGCAATTCAGTATTATCAATTGCAAGGCAAAGTCAGAATTATCAACTATAAGTGAAAATCAGTATTATCAAATTATGAGCTCAGTTGGGATTATGCACATTTTATTTATCATAACTCTTGTTATAACTTTCAACTCACCCGAGCATTTAGTATCATCTGCTGTTCAGAATCTCGTTGCAGAATTGTTTTCTTTGCAACAATACTCAGGATAAAAGGATACTGACAATATGAAAACCTAAAGAGACAAAATAAAAAGATAAAAGAATAATAAAGGTTCAAATAGAAATTGCACAAGGATATATGTGATATAATAAGCCAACAGATATAGAGATAAGCAATGATATTTTGGGTAAGAAAGTGAGGGCAGAAACATTAATATACTTTGTCCCTTTGATTAATTGTAAATTTTCATATTTAACTCCTTTATAGAGCAGGTGGAGTTTTGATAAATTGTCAAAGCAAAAACATAACAATATTAAAAAGTTTAGTGCTTGACCAAACCAGAATCAGTAAGTAAATACCATTTATGTTATTTGTTTCCTTTATTCCACTTTACTGATACTGCATCCCAAAGTAGATCTTTAAAACGAACCGAGAAAGGGATAATAAAACTGATGAGTGGTGGCATAGTCAAAAAACGGTCTCTTCTATTTCAATAGACTTTTATATTTAATGAGTCGATGACTTTGTATCATATGACCTAAGTTTAACACCACATAATCAGTTAGAACCAGTTTGATAAATCCTGTCTTACTCAATATGGCACTCCAACTGTTACCACATGCACACACATACATCAATCAAATGTGATTCTTCCATTACGTTAAACTTATAAGAAACTTTATTATTTAAAATATACATCAATAAACTTCTATGTGTAATCCCTCTTCCATTCTACGTTTCCATTTATGGTTTGAAGGTTTGTTTGTTTTGAATTTCGCGCAAAGCTACACGAGGGCTATCTGCGCTAGCCGTCCCTAATTTAGTAGTGTAAGACTAGAGAGAAGGCAGCTAGTCATCACCACCCACCGCCAACTCTTGGGCTACTCTTTTACCAACGAATAGTGAGATTGACCGTCACATTATAACGCCCCCACGGCTGAAAGGGCGAGCATGTTTGGTGGGACGAGGATTCGAACACGCGACCCGCAGATTGCGAATCGAGCTAACTAACCACCTGGCCATGCCGGGCCTTGGTTTGAAGGAGAATACAGATTTGGTGTTGGATTTTAAATGCACAGATTTGGTGTTACGCTACAAACACACAGTTCACTGATATAATTTAAACATGCACTTTCAATGAAACAGTTTAAACAGATAAAATCAATGTAACTCTCACACTTTTAATACACAGAGATTTATTTCTGTTTCAGTTAAACTCATTTATTTAGTGTTACAGCTCAAACAAACACATATTTTAAGCTACGTTTTAAATGCAGAGGTTTAATGTTATATTTAAAACATGCAGATTAAACATTTCTGTTTACTGTTACAGTTTTGGTATTCATTGATTTCCCTCAGAGTAAACAGATAGAATTCGCAAACACAGAAGATCCACTATATTTCGGATCAAAGGTCTAAGCCTAACTTAAAATAAAGAGACTGAATAAGAGGTGTAGTAGGATGGGAATGAGTGGGCACAGCCTACTTGTATTTTTGTAACCGGAACGCCGTACCGCCACTATTTCGAACGAATCCCACCTTACACCGCTATGCAGTAGATTTCGCGTTCAGGTGATTCTTTGTTTAGCACTTCATCACAGGACTGAACACAAAATTTTACAAATCAACACTCGTTATTACCAAACACAAATTAAAGTTAAACATTTAAACATAATGCTTAATGTGCTGTGAAGAACTGGAAATAGACGAGGGAGAGTGACCTTTACCAAGCCTTTCTCTGTCTTGAAGTTAAGCTTGAAGTCAAACGTGAAAACAAATATGCAAGCAAATTAGGCTCTCTCTAGGAGCTCATACTATCCAATATACCACATAAACACACACACACACTCTCTCTCTAGGAGCTCATACTATCCAATATACCAATAAACACACACACACTCTCTCTAGGAGCTCATACTATCCAATATACCACATAAACACACATACACTCTCTCTAGGCGCTTATGCTATCCAATATACCACATAAACACACACACACACACACACTCTCTGTAGGCACTCATGCTATCCAATATACCACATAAACGCACACACACACTCTCTCTAGGCGCTTATGCTATCCAATATACCACATAAACACACACTCTCTCTAGGCGCTCATGCTATCCAATACACCACATAAACACACACACACTCTCACTAGGCACTCATGCTATCCAATATACCACATAAACACACACTCTCTCTAGGCGCTCATGCTATCCAATACACCACATAAACACACACTCTCTCTAGGCGCTCATGCTATCCAATATACCACATAAACACTCTCTAGGCGCTCATGCTATCCAATACACCACATAAACACACACTCTCTCTAGGCGCTCATGCTATCCAATACACCACATAAACACACACTCTTTCTCTAGGCGCTCATGCCATCCAATATACCACATAAACACTCTCTAGGCACTCATGCTATCCAATACTCCACATAAACACACACTCTCTCTAGGCGCTCATGCTATCCAATATGCCACATAAAGGCACACACACTCTTGAAGCGCTCACGCTATCCACGTGACGAAGGCCACTCTCAAATCAACAGTAGGGTGTCAAGCCCTTAGGACACCACCCTTTTTACCATAAGGAACAATCATTGTCGCTATCTATTATGTAGTTCATACTACATAAATCCTTTCTGAAGGGAAGACAAGTGACGTCTTTGGTGACTCCCCATGTCACGTAAATAATTAAAGTGAGAAAAACTTAGTAGCTCCCTTGACTGATGTTCTAATGTAAACATAATGCTGAAATTATTAAAAAAATTTATACATACATAATTATTGTTACATTTTAAAACATACTTTTAAATTCTACAGTTCAAATGCACAAATCCAGTGTTACAGTTTTAGACGCACAAATTAGTTTTTGTATTTTAAACATGCAAATTTGTTGTGATAATTTAAGCAAAGAGTTAGTATTGCGTTATAAATACAAAGATTTAGTGTGACACTTCAGTGTTAAGTCTACACAAGAACTTTTAATACCTGCACGAGATGATAACTGGCAACCTGTGTAAGCCAAGATAAGGGAAGTGGTGATAACATTTCCGTTAAACAGCTCACGAAACAAACATTTTTAATCATTTACAAGCAATTCTTTGCAACTTTTACAGGAAACTCATTTGCAGATCTGACGACAAACTCAAGCAATTTTAATGTTACAGCAACACTTGTTATTAATATTCCACGCACATTTTAATACGTTCGTCATGATTACATAAAATTCTTACATAGAATCCGACAAATAACGACAGATTACCTTTGTTGTACGATATTTTTCCGTTTTTAGTTTTTCGTTTCTCATTTTTTTAAATTTATTACACTTGACACACGGACAGAAGTTTCATGTTGAAAACATTCATGTTCATAAGCTTCGCGTAGTTTCTTAAAGTAATTGTTGCACTGGTCGATGGTATGATAAAAACATATATAAGTATGTGTGTGATTGTGTGTTTTGTTATAACAAAGCCACAAGGGGCTGTATGCTGTGTCCACCGAGGGGAATCGTTTGATTTGCAAATCCGAAGATTTACCGCTGTCCCACCTGGGGACAGAAGTATATGTAATTATCAGACTCATTACATTATTAACGAAGTATATGTAAATATCATAATTATTACATTATTAACGGATACTAATGAAAAGTTTATAAATACTTAATGATGAGTAAAAAAAAAAAGTTACTGTTTCACGGCGATAGGAGAATTATAGAAAATTAAAACAAAGTTTGGAAATTATGTTTTTAAGAGTTTTTGTTTTACTAGACTAAAACAAAACCACCTCCAGAGCGACTTTCTATATTGAGTGCTGTCATGATGGTATATTTTTATTTGCATCTTGCTTTATATATCCTAGGAGCGAAAACCAAAATAATTACAACACAGAAAGCGGTGCATTGGAGAAACCTTAAAATTCAGTACTTAGATGATAGGCTTATTTTCCTAAGTATCTCCATTTGAGATTTGTTCATCTATTTTATTTTGAAAGAAGAAAAAGTTTGAATCGATATAACAGAACTTGTTTTTTATTAATAAAAATACTTTGCGATTAATTTGTCTAGTGTTCACCCTCTTAAATTACCGACTTATTTTTATACCGTTCAGCACCAGTTGGGTCCACAACACATAGTGATTCATCTCATGTTTTTACCTGTTACAACACTCAGGGCAAATAACTGAATGAAAAAAAAATGGGTGCTATCGCTAATTTCTATGTAAAATACATAGAGGACCCCAGGAGTAATTAGTAATTTATGATATTAAAACCACCGGTTTATGAAATTAGCTAGTTTTTCATAGAACTGAGTTTCTATTAACTTACTTGTTGTGCTTGGATGTATTCTGCCATCTGTAATATTCAGCCATCAAGTTAATGTGATCCAACGCGCTGTTGTAAAATTCGGTGTAACTTATTAGGTTGGGGGTGGTTCGGCTGTTTGCAGTGTCTATAATTAAAGGAAAGAAACATATCTGTATGTCTTTATTCAGGCTTTTATCAAAATTTATATATCACCTAAACAATCAGTAATAACTTGCATCGTAACTCACCAAAACGACTCACCAAAGCGCAAGTTTGCAGTGTCTATAATTAAAGGAAAGAAACATATCTGTATGTCTTTATTCAGGCTTTTATCAAAATTTATATATCACCTAAACAATCAGTAATAACTTGCATCGTAACTCACCAAAACGACTCACCAAAGCGCAAGTTTGCTTATAACAACTAATACATTACCATTCGAAACTCACGTGAAACAACAAGCACAGA